GTTATAGCAGTATAGGAAGAATACGTAGGTTATATCTTGAAGTAGGTGTAGTACCTTCCTTTGAATGCTTGAGAATTATGTTGCAATGTCTAGGAACACTTCTGTAGTCCCACGTTTACTCCCACTGCTGCAGGTTTGCTCATGAATAAAACAAAAAGTAAAAGAAAGAGAATTGCCATCGTTTACTGTCAGTTGACTGGTCAGTCCTTTTGACAGATGGAGTAGATGTCAGGGTACTACTTTACTGAATGAAGGTTTGCCAGCCATCAATATGGCCATGCAGTCAAATCAAGAAGCACTCGGTAGTTCAAGATCCAGAATTGTAAACTAGCTGAGCAATGACTCCTTTTATGGAGAAGTAATCATTTTCTAGCCTCCCATCACTTTTCATAGATTTCATAGACATTAGGACTGGAAGGAACCTTGCAAGATCGTCAGGTCCAGCCCCTGCCGAAAGGGCAGGCAGTCAGCAGGGGTCAAATGATCCCAGCAAGATAGGCATCCAAGTGTTTCTTAAAGGAATCCAGAGTAGGTGTTTGCACCACCTCTAGGGGGAGTCTGTTCCAGGCCTTGAGGGCTCGGACAGCAAAGAAGTTTTTCCTTATGTCCAGGCTAAAACAGTTTTGCAGGAGCTTATGACAGTTGGACTTTGTCATCCCCTGGGGTGCTGTGGTGAACAGGTGTTCCCCCAGATCCTGATGAACACCCCTTATGTCCTTGTAGGCTGCCACCAGTCACCCCAGAGCCTGCGCTTCTCCAGGCTGAAGAGTCCCGTAGCTCACAGCCTCTCTTCATAAGGCCCGCTCTCTTGCCCTCTGATCATGTCCATGGCTCTATTCTGGACTGTTTCAAGCTTCTTCTCTACATCCTTCCTAAATTGTGGAGCCCAGAATTGGATGCAGTACTTCAGCTGTGGTCTCGCCAAGACCGAGTACAGCTGGAGGATGACATCCTGGGTCTTGCTTGAGATGCATCAGTAGATGCAAGCCAGTGTTTTGTTCACTTTACCAGCTGTGATATCACACTGATGGCTCATATTCATCTTGTGTTCAATCACAACCCCCAAGTCTCTTTTGGTCATGGTGCTAGCAAGTGTAGCATTGCCAAGCCTTTAAGTGTGATGCAGGTTTTTATTCCTGAGGCGGAGCACCTTGCATTTTTCTGTATTGAATGCCATCAGGTTCTCATTTGCCCACCTTGCAAGCCTACTGAGGTCAGCCTGGATTACCAGCCTATCATCAAGGGTGGAGACTCTTCCCCAAAGTTTGGTGTCATCAGCGAACTTGGCCATTCTGCTTTTGATACGAATGTTCAGATCATTTATGAAGACATTAAAGAGAACGGAGCCTTGGGGGACACCACTAGTCACAGAGTGCCATGTTAATTTGGTTCCTTCAACTACCACTCTCTGGATCTGACCTCGGAGCCAGTTCCCCAGCCATTGGACTGTGGAGTAGTTGAGGCTGAAGTTCCCCAATTTTTCCATGAGGACATGGGACACCAGGGCAAAGGCTTTTTTAAAGTCTAAATATATGACATCAACCTCTTCCCTTTTGTCCAGGTGATGTGTCACCTGGTCATAGAAGGAAATGAGATTGGTCAAACAAGACCTACCCATGCTGACTATCCCTCAGAATGCTGCCTTTTATTAGCCTGTCAAGAATGGTTTCTTTGATAATATTTTCCAAAATCTTCCTAGGTATTGAGGTCAAACTGATTGGCCTGTAGTTTCCCGGGTATTCCTTCCTCCCTTTCTTGAACATGGGCAAAATAATTAGTTATGGCCTGTAGAAGAGCCTCACAGGCCTAACAGGGCTCCTCCAACCCTAGTACCCCTACCACAGTCTTCCAGGTTTAAATAAGGGCTCCTGCTATTAATGCATCACAGCCAGGAGCAATTCTCAATGCCTTCCCGGTCGACTTTCAGGAAGTCTCTACAGTCCATTGGAAACAAAAATACAGAAATATGTGCAGGGGTTTCCCTTACCCCTGCCCTCTGTTGCTCTCCAGTGTAGGGTCCCCCCTATCACCATTTCCTGCATCCTTTTGGGCTCTCTGCTGTGCACTCCCAGGCTATCAGCACAGGCTTCTGGTCTCCAGCTGCAACTTGCCTATCTTGTATTAATGTGAAGCACCTGGGATGAACTGAAATCATGTGACTGCTCCCCTGAGGGTATAAATAGCACAGGCTGTTCTAGCCCAGCCCTAGTGTTCCCAAATAGGGCTTTCCCAACCCAGGGGCTCTGTTTCCCAGGGAACCTTAAAGGGGCCTGACCACAGCTGTGCTCTCCGGGGCATGAAGCTTAAAGTGGAGAGCAGTTTGCCCCACTCTTTAGGCCTGAAAATCATGTGCCATGGCCTGGCAAACTAGGATGGTGGCAGAGAGATGTCCAGGCTTTAGGTTTAGTTTTGGAGTATTCTTCTCCTAGGTGGATTGCCAAACCAGGGCTAAAGAATTCCGCCTGCCCTAGTTATTGGGTTGGGTCGCTATTTGTCTGGAACCTCACCTTTGACTTTGCTGCCATGGGAGACCCTACCAGGAAAAAAAATTAAGATGGCATTGCTCTCAGGATCATTGTGACATGCAAGCCTCTTCACCATGACAAGATTGAAATCCAGGGAGAGGCTGAGAAGCCAGGCTTCTGTAAAAAGTCCACTCAAGAATGAGAAGTTTTGGAAACCACTTTCAGAGTTATCTGAGGAGTTTGGACAGCTTCCTTTAGTAGATTTGGAAGCTGCCTGAATCTTTTGACACTCAGAATGATAGTTACAGTCTATCTCCCATCAAATGGGATCATTCTTCAGTCCACCATCATGGGGCTGGAGCGTCTGAGGAATAAACCAGGGATTAGCCAAACAAGCAATTGAGGAGAGCATGAGCAGAGAATATTAAGAACCAGGAAACTGGATAGTCCATTCTGTCATTTTGTTCAGAAGCATTTTAGAATCCTCAAGGCCTAAAGAGCCACTTTGGACAAGGCGAGTAACCCAGAGGCCACTGAGCAACGCTTACTGACAAATAGATGGGCACCCAGTATCTTTAGTTGTGATCCATAGTGTGTGTGAAGGAGAGTGATACCAGGATGAGCGGCATACCAGTGCAGAGTTGGTACCACAGCAACACTTAGTGTTGAAGAGGCTGAGTCAGAGGACAGTACTGAGTACAGTGATGGAGGAAGAGAAAAGTCCCATGGAAGGGCACTTGTAGAAAGATTTAAGTTTGGTGGGATGGTGAACTTGTTTGTGTTACTGAAAGAAAAAGCCTCTGAGCATGAGATGACAAATCTGAAGGCAGAGAAGCAGTACCAAATTTTCTGGTGTCAGTTAGATCAGCACAAAAACTGATACTAAGTATCTGCTACTGCCATGGGCTGTGCAATGCTCATGGCAGAAGCATGGAGACTTCTTACTGGCCTTTTTAAAAAACTAAAGAACTTCTGCTGGTTCCAGGTGACCATACTGTCTGACTGTGAGCTTCTTTTGCAACAGCCATTGGGGGCTGAGGAATCTGAGACTAGAGGTTTTGAGAACTGTAAGGGGCTGTGAATAGTTTGGGACTTGGAATTTTAGGGGGAACCTATGAAGGCTGAAATTTGGATCAGCCAGATGTAGAAGAAGTATATTTCTGCAAAGCGCCTCAAATAGAAGGCCTTTCTCTAGAGCCAAAATAACACTACTGGAACCACTGACTGACACCACTGATTAAACAGTACTGGTCTCAGTGGTGCCAAGGTGGAGAGAGATTCCTGAGAGAGGATGCTGAAAACTGCAGAGACCTATAGTGTTGTGAAAAATCTCTTCCCTCTGGACTGGAGACCGAGCTCCAGGAAGTGTTCAAAAGGAACCTTATAGAGTTTGGTTTCCCCTTCCTTATGAGTCCAAAAGTGAAAGCTCTAACAGCCACCTATGGGAAGAGGTGGAACAAGAGTCTGGGAGTGGACTTCTTCAAGACAAAAAGGGACTTATATCTCTATCTGAAGTTGGTCTAACACTGTTGCAGGATGACATTGTCCAAAGCCTGGTAAGTGGGGAGTGGTCATGGATATAGGCATTGTCATATATCTATTTTCTTTCACTCCACATAAAATAAAATAAGAAGGAATACAAAAGAAAACTCCTATCCTGCTTAAGAAAAGAGGTAGAAAAACTGTCCCAATCTGACAATAGTTTGAGTTTTCGGACTGCTCCCTGGTGTTAGCCTTCTCACCCTTCCCCTTGAAAGTGTAAATTACCATTACCTGGCGCACAGGCCCCTGCAGATTTGATCTGAGGTCCTTGAGCACAGTCATTTGGGATGCAAAGTCTCAGGAACTACCTTGTGTGAATAGGAGAAGAACACTGAACTTAATTATTGCTATATTGCCTAATTCTGGCCATATGCTAAAAAAAGATAATTATCTATTTGTACCAATGGCTGATGTTCATATAAATATATAAAAATGATGAAACTAAACACAGTTTATCATTAGCACCAATAGAGATCCCAAACATACCAATAAATCTGATGTGGAGAAACATGTAATATTGCACTAATCACCCCAAAATATTATGGGTTCTCAACACACATTTCAGGTTTTTGCCTAGGAAAAAAAAATCTATGTCTTTATAGTGGCCCATAACTTACTAGTCAGGACACTCTTGGAATATGAAGTCCCTTTTCTACCATAATTCAGACAAGACCTTTGAAGCTGCATCTCTCACTGTGAAGGTGCTTTATATGGCAGACTGTTGGATGTTCTGGCATGGTAGGTAATGGTAAATCTGTTCCTTGACTAGCTGTAAGGTTCAGATGCACAATTCGGAATGAAGTGTAAATTATAAGAAGCCTTAACAGGAGACAAGCCTTCTAGGCCAGGTCATATCTATATCTAGAAGTTTGTTAGAGTGTAAACGTATCTTCTTCCCTCTTGAAATAATTGAGTACTCAGGCAGAAGGGAAATGTGGACTTTTAATTCCATGTTCATTATTAAATACTTATCTTTTGTTTTTTTCTCCTTAGTCCATCATTCCAATGTATACTGAAAATATTCAGGAAGCATATAGGATGCCTAATGAATGCAGTAAGAGACATTTCAAATAATATGTTCTTTTTGATCATTTTTCACTTTTCCATCTCAAAATGCATATCCCAGAAATGTATATTCTTCCTCTGAATCTTTTTGGTTTTGGTTTACTCTCAGTTTTGTGGAAAATGGGGTGTCCATGGATGGTCAGATGTTAACATGCTTGTCTTGGATCAGACATAGGCTGCTGCCAGATATTTCTTTAAAGGTATCATAGGATGTGATCCACATTCCCAACAGTCATGCCTTCTGCCATGCCGATTGTGTGTAGCAGGACATATGTTATTGGGATCAGGGATCAGATCTCAATTGCACCCTACTTGCCATTGCAGGGGCAGACTAGGATCATAATCCTGGGATCCCCCAACACTGGCAGCCTGAAAGCTGGGTGCCTGACAATCATAGTCTTATTGGCTCTTGTGTGTTCCCTGGAGTCAGCCAATGATCATTGTCCAGTGCCAGCCAGCTCTGGTGCTGTCCTGGAACCAGTGGGCAATCAGCTGATGATCAGCCTGCAGAGACTACACCAGGGCTGGCTTGAGCCGCACTGCAGTCCTGGAGCCAGCCAAAAATCAGCTGATGGTCAGGTGGTGGGGACATACTGGGGCTGATTGAACGCCTCAGTGTAGCCCTAACCCAGCCACATGCTCAACTGAGCATGGTGGAACCCCTCCTCTTTCCCCTCTGAATATTACATATATTGTGTGTAATATTTTTGGGGCTGGATTACTTTTTTGTGGTGTCATTAATTCCTAAAACATGTGGCTGGGTTACTGACATGAGTCAATGTGTCTTTAGTTTCAAGGTGAGGTTCTCCCCTGAAGGCCTCTGGTATAATGGCAAGGAAGAGAAACATTAAAGCAAGTGGTTTCAATGACTTGAGGGTGGAGCACAGAAGGCTTTGCAAAGATGAGGACATAACTTTTACAGGGAAGACTTTGAAAGAGATTAAATCCTTGCTAGTTTAGCATGGCATGAGGAAAACTCAAGCTTTTATGGCCAGACAGTTTCAGGGCAAACCTCTCTGGATTAAATTGGATTGGGAACAACTATGGGAGATGATCCAGCTCATCTCAGTGATTCAAGCTGCAAAATAGTGATTCTCCACCAGGGTCCTGGGGCACTCTGTTACCAGGAAAATCAAGTTTGAGGAAACAAGCAGTTAATATCAAACTCAGGCTTGTCCCTTCTGCCAGGAGTTAAGCCCTGTAATAACAAATATGTTTGTTTTTTAAATTAAGTGCCACTCAATTCATAGAAGCTAAGGAGTGGTGTCTTGAGTCTAAAAAGTTTGAGAGCCACTGCGCTAAAGCGAAAATCAGTGCTGTTGGGCTGATTATGAAGGTGCTGAAATGAAACTCTGGCAGGCACTGTGTCGCTGATATAATAGAATGTGATGGGTAAAGAAGGCTTTTACCTATGAAACCTTATGCTCTCTGAGCCATTTAATGGCAAAGGTGCCACCCTGTCCTGCCTTTTGATAGTGAGGGAAACATTTAGTTTCGGGAAATCTGGCAGCTCTGTTTATTTGTTACACTCAGTATATATTTAGTCCACCAAAGCTCTGAGACTTTTTTATTTTTCTAATGCGCAGGATTAATTAGGTGGCTACATGAAACTTTTTTGTGGCCAGTCATCCCACCGTATGGAGGGCTTCCAGTTAAACTTCACACACACGTTGGAGAACCCATTCCATATGATCCAGATATAACTGCTGAGGAACTAGCTAAAAAGGTATGTTGGTCCCTCTAGCAATGTCATATTGCCTTCTAGATCTTAATGTTCTTTTAGCTTCATTTTAAATGCATTTTTCAAGTGCTTTTATATCTCCATTTATCTTTATTATAGATTTTATGTTAAGAGTTTGAGTTATGGGATACATCAGGGCTGTTCAACTGGTAGCTCATGGCCTGAGAAGGGTTAATTTGCTACTGCCCACCTCCTGCCAGGCACCGCTCTCCTTACCGCAATGGAGGCTGCTGTTACCAGGCTCACTGGGCTCCTCCACTCTCTAACAGCTTTTTCTTCCAGTTCCCAGTGCTGGAGGGAGAAAAAGGCAGGAAATCACCACTACTGTGGGGCCCAGGAAGCCCAGACACAGGGTCCCCATACAGAGGGGAACTGTAATCAATGTGGCATGGCACAGCAGGGGACGCACCTGTGCAGTGTAGTATCGGCAGTGCAGTGCAGCAGGTGGTGTGGTGGGAGACCCACACAGCATGTGGGCCTGTGGGGCCATCAGGCAGCACACATGCAGCTTACATGGTGTGCGGCCCCTGGTAATTTTGAAGTTGGGCAGCCCTGTATTACATACTGTACCGGGACAACTGAAGTACTTGATTGTAAGCTCTGCCAGTGATATCGTGTTATCATGGGATTTGTTGGTGGCGTTTTTTCCCTGTACTGCTTGAATCGCAAACTTTCCTTTCATTTCTTGCCTTCCATGTCTTGTGTCACTTCTGTCACCGTATGTTTATGGTTGAAAAGTTCAGTTTTAATCAGAATGGTTCAAGTTTTCAAGTTAGCTAGTCAGTGTGTCAAGACTGCCTAGCATTGTGTCAGACACATACTTGAAAGTATTTTAATCTTTTGAAATTGGTGGCAGTTTTTTGCTTAAATATCTACGAGGATCTGGGATTTAGGCCCATTTACATGCTTTAAGATTTGTTTATGATGTATGTTAAGGTGTTTGGCATAAAAGTTGCTATTAGTACTTTACCCAACCAAAATCTGCCGTCCTCTGGTTTACACTGCTTTTAGGTCTGTGGACTCTAGTCTATGTGGACCATACAAAATTCTGCATACTGGCTTGAAGTACAACTGGGCATATTTGCCTAAAATGTCAGATTGCTGGTCCCACGAGAAGATGGGGACAAAATTTGAGAAAGGTGCCTGCTGCTGCAAATCGTGGACTTGTGAGGGAGAGGGTGGGGCAATGCAAGAATTTTTTACTGACTATCTGCAAGCTTTTGACTGACAGTCAAACTTGTTTTACTGGCACATCTTTTTCCTGATATATTTTACGTAATGTAAATGCAACTCTTTTGCCAGGCCTCAGTAGCAGGGCTGGGTTCAAATTTAAGGGCACCTACACACAAGTAACGAGGCTGCTCTGGCACACTGTAATTACAGTTCCATTGAGCAGGCTTGATTAACCATGTCTGCTGGAGCATGGTAATTACCACGCTCCAGCAGATTCCAGCATCTCATGTATCAGTGTGTAACCTGGGCGGTACTCCAAGAGGTACCCCCTCTTCAGTTGAAGGGATCAAATCAGGTGCACAAGCGCTGTGGAAGGTGTAGGGACTCTCCTCCCCCTATAAAGCAGAGCCAGGCTACCAATGGGGACTTAACCATATACCTTTTAATGAGGGAACAATACTGGGAACATAACAGGCATAAATCAGGGGGTATAGTGGACACTACAATGACCCAAGGGGGCAGGATTCAACAAAGGTTAGACACTTACAATCATAGACATATTCATCCAGTTGACAAAAGACAGGGTTAACGAAATATAAAACACAAACAGCAGAGCAACCAGCACTGGTTGGTAAAATATAAAAGGCACAAAATACAAAATGTCAAATGACAAGGAAATCTAGGGCCTAAGTACCTGGAGGGGGAGAAGACACAATGGCTTCTTTCCACTGCAAGAAGATTTGCTTTTTGTTAGTTCATTCACTGCAAGTCACCCCAGCTAGGACATGAACTCAGATCTTCCATGTGGTAGGCTGAACCACTGCCACACAGCCACCAGTGCTAGTAGTGCTCCAAGCTGCTAGGGGTCTTCACCTTCTCAGAGACCTAGCCTCACATCAAGCTGCCTAGCCTCTGTTTGGAGGAGCTGGAAGCTGAGCTGGGAACCTCTCAGGTCACTGCTCAGATCCTTGCTGGATCGGGAGAGCCTCTTCTGCTGGCTAAAGCCTCTCATAGGGGATTCTGGAGCCCAGCAGGGAGCCTCTCCTGCCGGCCGCACGCCGTGCTGCTGAGGGTCCAACTGCTGCCTGCAGGTCCCACTCCTTCAGGCTCTTCTGGGGCAACTGCTCCCGCCCCGCTGGCTCAGCTCTTGCCAGCTCTTTGAAGCTCCTCCCCCATGGTACCTCGCTGGTCTCCCCTGAGTCGGCTGCGCTTCCCCTTCAGGTGACCCAAGGGACACGGAGGGTGAGTCTTGGGGGCCTGATTGGTGAAGAAAAGGAATCCCAAGTCCTCCAATCATCTTTCGCCCTTTCAAAACCCCTGGACTAGGTCACTGTCAGCTAGCCCATCACAAGTGTCCCCGAGCTTAAAAATGGCGGCAGGAGCACAGTAATTAAAGCTCATCAAACAAGCTTTAGTTGATGTGATCCTACTGCCATTTTTAAGTATGGGGACACCGATACATGAAATGCTCTGGGTGCTTTAATTATAGCGACTTTTGGAGCCACTCTAATTACAGAGCCCCACTCCTCCCTCCTCCCCACCCCCCTCTGAGCACATCTATAAACACCCTAGGAGGTTAACATGAATCACAATGAAAAAAGGAAAGTTTTAGTTCTCAGAAAGAAGCTGGCATTTACATATTTTCTTGGGTTGGAACCCTGCTTGACTGCAGTTAATAGTTTTAAATTAGCTGCCCCCCTTGCCAGGATCTCCAACTCAGCGCCACCCCCTGATGCCCTGACTGCTCCTGGCACCATGCTGCTCCACTTCCCCTGTCCCAGCATGGAAAGAGGCCTACTGTTAATCCAGCAGTACACAGCTGAGAGATTGCTCCTGGCATGGTGCTGTGCTCCCACTTGTAGACAAGATGGTGGTGTTGTGCTCTGTCTGTCAGTGCTTCCATCAAGCTGCAGCTGCTTTGTGTTTTTGCTGATGACTACAGCTTCTTTTAGGGACTTTACAGTAATGAGGCCAGATCAGAACCTTGTACCCAGCTGTTCTCAATGAGATCAGGGCAAGTCATCCCTCAACAGGTGCAATCTGATGCAAACCCAGAGCTGCGCCCTGGCCCCATCTTGGTTGAATGAGGCAGTCATGGAAGCCAATAGCCACAGGCAGCAGGCCCCATCCACTCCAACCCCTAAAATCTAGCCATAGCTTATAGTATCGTTATCTGAGCAAAGGTAAAAGTTCTTTCCCCCGACCTTCCATGCATTTCATTGCCAGTATTCTGCTAAGATCCTCAACATTCCTTGATCTGGTTCATGGATCTTGATTCTGGTTTGACCTTCAGCTCTAGCTTTTGTCTTGTGATCCTGGTCAAGCCTTGGCTTACCCTGTTTCCAGCTACGACTTCTGACCTTGGCCTGTTCTGACTTTGGCTCTGGCTCCTGACTTCAGTTCTGATGCCAGACTGCTCTGTGACCCCCCAGCTCCCTGGGGAGCTGATCTGGACTGTTACAGACAAACAAGTCAAATAACGTTGTGATATGGTAAGGTAAGATACAACTCCTAGTTTATGCTCCGTTACAAATTATTTTCTACAATTAGTTCTACAAAACTGAAATGATTTTTTTTATCTTAGCTGATCCTTTTTCCTCAGTCTGATATGACTTCAAGAACTGCACTTAGAAAAATGTAGACTCTTTGAGGGAGTGTGGATGTGTTCTAGAAGGCCTTGAACTCTGTAGTTAGTTCCAATTTTTAATACAGGATTTTTCCTTGTAAAGCACTTCCAAGCTGAGAGAGCTGCTCACCTGATTTCCGTATCTTGGGCTTCTGGAAGATTTGGATACTGACTTCACAAAACCTTACTTCCAGACTTTTGTTTCAATGAGAATAAAAAGCCCAAACATTAATTAAGTGAAAAGAGGATATATTACAGTCCTGTCGCAGTATAAGTTATGTGGTGCTCATTGCAATATTACAGCAGTCTTGTTCCCATTTGGTCAATATGTAATTTTGCCATCCATTTCAATCAGAGCACAAAGTTTTTCTGTATTTACCATTTCAGTTTCATCATTATATATTCATATGGACTGCCTAATTCAGGAAAGTATGTATGCACATGATGTTAGTTTGTACTGAAAACCCCGGAATGAGAGCTTATGCAGCTGCTTAAGTGCTCTCCAAAATTATAAGCGTAGTTCTTTTTTTTTTAAGGAAAATCCTGTAGAGCCAACTAGCACATGCACCTTTTCCCAATAATTCCCATCCTTCCCCAACTCCTCATTTCCAGGTTGCAAAAGGTAATTGGGGTTCTAGGATTTGTATGCCTGCATAATGTGAAGACTTTTAAAAGTTTAACTGTCTCCTCTTCTTTCCTTAACAGACACAGACTGCACTCCAAAATCTGATACAAAGACACCAACAAATACCAGGAAGCATGTGGAAGGCTTTATTGGCACGGTTGGATAAACCCAAAAAAGATGATTAGAAAATTTCACCTATTTAGTGATTCATTAATTATAAAGTCCAAAATGACATGTTTTTCATTAAGCAGTCCTCTGAATATCCATGGTAAAAGATATGTTCTGTAGAAATGGTTGCTACTAGACTGTCATTGATGTTGCATATTTAATTTATAGGTGGCTGTATAACTGAAAGTTATTCGATTGATTATAGATTTTCCTATGTCATAACCAGGGCTTAATCCTGCAGTTTCCCCGAGCAAGATTGCTGATGATTTCAGTGGGAACCTTGCTTGAGTATGGGTGGCAGTAACAGACGGAGAGATTATGCAAAAAGATGCATTTTTGTTAAGTTAGTAAACCAAAAGCAAAGTGGGTTTGGTGCCTAGCTGTTACTTGAGGAAACTAACTGCAGTGTTCAGATCTTCAAGACACCCTTCTTAGAGACAACCTAATCATGCAAATACCTAAATTCCAATCTGAGGTTATATGCAGAATCTGTCTGGGTCCTAATGCTGCTGAGTTGCTAGGAAGCCAAACCCTGGGAAGTGTTTCAAAATAGGTCCAGTCTGTTAGGAACTTTTTTGAGCATGTGTGTTTCATTAAGCATCTCTGTGGATAGTTGGGAGTGAGAGACTTTGTGGGTGCATCTACCCATGCATTATTGTGTCTTTTCTAAAGTTCATTGCATTTAGTACCTCCAATGTGAGGTACTAAATTAATGTGCATTAGGCTGTGCTAATGTGTGCACATATTCCTGCACACTTTCAGCACCCTTGTGCCCCAGACAGCCCCTCTACTGCCAGATGCTGCCACTTAGAGCCTAGGACTAAGCCCTGTATCCCAGGCCCTAGCAAAAACTGCTCCACCCTGGCTCCATTTGCTGCTGTCCCAGGCACACATGTAGATGCTGTACCCAGGAGTAGTTTACTTTAGTTCTAACTGCTCCAAAGTTTATTGCTTTGAATGAATTGCACAGGCAGATGCACCCACTGGGCATGTCTACATGAGACATTTACTGTGATGTACTAATTAGCTACACAGTAGAGCAGCAGCATCTATACATATGGCCCTATTAGGCTGCAGGAAATTAATAAACTCCACAGCAGGGTAGTACTTGTAAATACAAGTACTATCATACTGCAGAGTTATTTACTGTGCAGCAACGCACATGTAGACACTGACCTGAGAGTAAATTGTGCCCAGTCAGTCTAGCCAGAAGGGGGCCACACTCTTGCCTGCTGCTTATCCACATGGCTCAGCAGCTGCAGGAGCCTTGTGGCCCAGCCATCTCCTCTGCTGCCAAGTGCAGCCACCTGCTGCCCAGACCATGTTCCCTGTCAGCCCAGGGCTGCCCCCCAATCTTGGACCACAAAGCAGCTGCCAGCTGGAGCCCTGGGTTGACTCCCTTACCCCCTGCCGACCTGGGGCTGGCACTGGGCAGCTGCACCCAGAGGCTGGAGCTCCCCCTGGCTGCTGTAGCAGGGCAGGGCAGGAGCAGCCCTGGCCTAAACTGTTCCGCCCCAGCTCAATTTGCTTCTGTCCTGGGCTCATGCATAGATGCTATACGTGGGAGTTATTTACTGTGGCACACATTGTTCCACAGTTTATTCGGTCACATTAATTACATGTGTAAAACATCTGTAAAAGTACCCACTATATATAAAAGTGCTGCTTAAATTTGTGTTTATGGACTACCTGTGCTGAAACTTGCAGCAGTTTGCAGAGAGGTAGAATACATCAAGTCTAGATGAACTAAATCAGTAGCTCTCTGAAGTAATTTATATATATGTAACTGAATAAAAGTATGTTTATTTTTAAGTCCATGTTTTTTGTTCCTTGAATTTCTTCTGCTTGCCTTCTGCAACTTCTGGCTTTTCTCTCCCCAAGCATGCTTCCCCACTTTACTGTCACATGCATTGGGCACATCCTCTGGGAGGAACAGAGCCCAAGCAGGGTCTGACAGTAAGGGGAGGGTGAAGGGGTTGCAGGGGGGAAAGGTTAGGGGTGGAGGCAGAGGGCAAGGGGGCAACTGCACCCCTTCCCCCTGGCTACTGTTTTTCCTGCTGGAGCACTGAGAAGGGGACAAATTCAAGACACGTCTTCTAATACTGATGTTCTATAACCTGGACAGTTGCAACACATTTCTAAATTGTCCATATATAGAATCTAATTACTGGGGGGTTGTCTTAAATTAACCAGTCCTTCAATTTACTATCTAATCACAGACCTACAAACTGCTAGTTGAAGGCTGTAGGTAAACCAGTATCATTAGCTATACCCCAAAGATGAACAGGGACATCTTAGGCATCCCTGTGGCCTCCATACCACTGCCGTAGCCACAACCCCAGTCCTCCATCATCAAACATAATTGCGTGGACAAGTAGACTGGGAAGAGTCACAAGACTAGAAGTATTCAAGAGGATTTGAGTGGGACTGAAGATGAGGGAGAGGAGTATAAAAGGGAAAAAAATGGAAGGGGGGGATATCATGAAAGGGAAAAAGGATAAAAACTGCCATGGTGAGAACAGAGATAATTAGCAAAATAATATTCCTTTTGTACTCGCCACTACTAGTGGAAGTTAATCTTTGGTGCCCTCTCCAAAATTTCATCAATAACCTGATCTAAATTAAGAAAACTAGCCCTCTCATTTTTAACAGACAGTATTGCTAATCCACAAAGCATTTCTTGTCCCATTGTGCTATGCAGGTCATCTTAATTATTCTGAGTTTTGAGAAGGAGGAACATTCACCATTTGATGTTTGTATGGGAATGCTTAAAAACAGCACAGCTGGCATATGTATTTCAGAAAATCTTGATGACAAAGTACTGTTATCAACAATCACACATTTAGTCAAATCTTCCAGTGTAAGTAACTTAGAAATTTTGGATGTCAGACATGCTCTAAATGCAAGTAATTGTCCAGGCAAGGTGACAGAAAAGACTCTGATATTTGTTTCACTAACATTTCAGCTTTTTCATACAGCTCTTCATCATCTGGTGATCCAAGTGTCTTTGATATAATTATGTTGAACTTTGTAGCAGTTCATTCAAACTATGAAAACAATTTGACAGCTGGGCTAAAATTATATTCAAACAGCCATAGAACACGTTAATTTTGAAGTAGCCCTTGGTGTCATTATTCAGTCTCTTGTTCTCACATAATTCACCAAAATATTTTTTTATTTTCTTTCCACATTTCTATGTAAACTTGACCTCCGCACCCCACTTTTCTAACATTTTGATGGCACTTGGTTTGGCTTCTCAGAGGCTATTTCAAAACACTAGTGATTATATTATACTGTGAAGCCATGTTGTGGCTTTGTTAAGCATATGTTTTTAGCTTGTAGGCACTTACAGACAGAATTTATAGCTTCTGTAGTTTTTATTTGGAGCAAAAGACATACAAAATCAAAAGTTGCTAAGATATTCTTTAACTATGAAGTGATGATGACATTCATCATCCTTTTTGCTCTGGAGAATTATTCTGGAAAACTCTTTTATTCAACATAGCAGAACCTCAAAGCAATAATTTTTTTTTGACAACTAACGTGTTGGAAATATTGTCTTTAAAGTAAAGTTACTGACAAGCTGTGAGACAGAACCTAATTCAGATAACAAAGCCCATCACCTTATTCTAAGAAAGCCTAGACTCTTTCAAACACCTTATCAAAATGTTTTATTTCAGGTATTCCCTAAACACAGTCATTAAACTAAAGTTCAAACTGTGGGTAGGATAGTGCCCATGTTCCTCATTTGTTTCTCTTATAGATATTCTTGCCTGCACTCTGGAATAAACACTGCTCACGTTAGCAGCCCTATCATACCCTTGGCTGCAATACTTCCAGATGTTCAACCATTTCCCTTTGATGCAGTTCACGATTTCCTGTTCTTCAAGACAAAACCCACTTTCATCAGATGTTTTGTGAAATCCCAGAAAGCCCTTGTTAATTTTCATATTGATTCACTATATTCATATATTTAGTTTCTACTGTTACATAGTGAAAAAGTTGACTTAGCTGGTCAATATTTGCAATGTCTTGGATTGTATCAGTAACAGAGAAAAACGGCACACTTTGGATTTTCTGAACAATCTCTCCCTCAACACATTTTGACAACAACTCAGTGATTTTGTTCTGAATGAGATGATTTAACTACACACTGAACCTTCTGGGATACAAACTAGTTGTTTCAGCACTGGGTCTTATTTAGCCAAGTGCTCGACGACTGAGAGAAAATTTCTGTTATTAACATTGCCTAAAACTAAGGGTGAGCATACGTCCCAGATTGGCTGGGACAGTCCTGGATTTCAGTGTTTGGCTCAGCACCCCAGCCATTAGAGAAAATTGAAGCAAAGGTCTTGGATTGGTGGGAACCTGCATGCATGTACCAGGCTCGTGACAGACCCTACTGTGCAAGTGACTCTGCTTGCAGCCCAGCAGAGTTGAGACCAGGGAGCAGCCATTGCTGCCCAGATCCAAGGTGAGGATGGAATTTCCCTGGGGTAGAGGGGAGGGTTGGGGTGCCTTGGACCCCTGTCCTCAGGGGAGCAGATTGCCAGGGCGGGGGCAATGTTGTTGTGGGGAGGCTTCAGGCTGCCAGGCACCCAAGTTTGGGTAGGTGACTTCAGGCTCCATGCTCCACTCTAGCCCCTGTCCCCACCAGATTCCTCAGCTAGGGCAGGGTGCTGCAGGAGCTGGTGCTGCACCCTGTCTGATCCAGCAGGATGGCTCCAGGCTGCACCCCTACCTGGGCACCCCAGGCCACCCCCAACTCACTCTCCCACAGGTGGGGGAGGAGGAGAGTCCTGGTTTTTGCTAGGTCAACCAGGCTCTCCCCAGGCGGTACAGGGCACTGGATCCCCACAGCCACAGGTTTGAGTCCCCCTGTTTGGTTTTGAGGGGTCTTTTTTAAAGCATCTGGGAAATGGGACAGAGGATGGAGCTAGAGGGAAGGAGGAGGGTGGCATGATGGGAAGGTGACATGATTCACCAGGGGCAGAGACCCTGGGGTGGTGGTGGGGCTTACACCTATGTGCAGCAATGCACAGGCTCAGATGCTCCACCACTGAGATGCTCCCCCACTGTGGGGGGACTGCAGCCCTGGTCAGATCCATCTCACCTATGAGACTTGGGAGAACAGGAGGCAGGGGGCAATGCCCTGGGTTTTCCATAGTTCCATATGGTCACCCTACCTAAAACCTCCCTGTGCCTCCTGAAAAGCAAGGCTGCAAATTGTCATTGATAAAGTCTCATTGATGAGGTGCTCAAGTACTTGCCTTCATAAGGTCTTTTTTTTCGTGAATTCTTTTTCATGATCTTTGTCAATAATGCTACGTAACCTCCACTGCAGAAACACTATGCAAACATTTAAGTACAAATATGAAGTTTCAAGATTATAGATCACTTCAGTTCCATGACACCCGTTTCTAACACCTCTCACCCATGCCACATTACATGTGGAGGACCTAGAGTCAGCAAAGAGCCAACATGCCTTGCATTATGCTCTGCCCTTCCTAGGTTAATAATGGAACAACATTCAGGTTCCTGTGGACCGGAACAAATTGAACTGGGGATGATTTGGAGAATATCACCAGGAAGATTAATGTGCTTGGAGAATTTTGCAATAGCTTCAAGCACATATTGTACCACATAGCTGCAAGCAGCAGCACTGAGGAAACAGCTCTTGTGATAAAGATCCAATTTCTTGTTGCAAGCTAAATAGCATCTGGTAAGTTCCCTACTTAACAGAGAATACTATGACTTACTTTTCTCCAGGCTCAAAACAACAGGCTGTTGTATTCAGGAACAAACACCTAACTGGGAAGATAAAAGTAACTCTGGAGCAACAGAGGGTGGAGTTCTAGATGTGCAGCTCCATCCGATAATAATGACTAGCTCCATCCCATAATACTGGCTAACAATGTAACCCTATAATTGTCCAGTTACTACATTTCTCCCCTCTTAATTTACAACCTGGACATAATCTTTCAAATAATAGGAGCTCTCAGTTCTCTGGCTGGATAATGCCCCTCGTCAGGAACAGGCTTCTGCTCTGGCCAGGGGAGTATCTCTGTCTTCAGCCTAAGCATGAATGTTGCGTGCCCCCGGAGGCTGGGGGAGGATGGCAAGCTCCTGCAGGCGGTGGTGGGTCTCTCAGCAGCAGGAGCATGGTGGCAGTGAGCTGTGAGCTCCTGCAAGTGGCCACGGTGCTGTCGGTGGCGGGGGGAAGATGGGAGGTGGCAGGCACTGACCAGAGGTCGGCGACCACCCACAGACTGTTTTGAACTCACACTTATTACTCTTCCTGGTAGTCACAATTCCTGATGTGAACACATTAAAAAAATTGCTTATTTGGGGTAATTTTACAGACATTTTCAACCCTTCTTCTTTTCCTTCCACTTCTGTGCATTGTTTCTATGTTTAGGGGCATTGTCAAGAACAGTGATTACAAAATTTAAACAAACTATTGAATCAACTCAGGATATCAAGGATGGGCCCTTTCAGACTGTGGCCCCTTGTGCAGTGACACTGGCTGCATTGGCTGTTGCTCCGTCTTTGCCATATGTATAACGTGGGAGGAGACTGGAAATAGACCTGAAATATGGCTCTGCACAATTCCTTCCAGGAAACACTATCTGATAAACTATTATGTAGTATCTTGACTCCTCTAGGGTTGGAATCTGGAAACTCCCAGGAAGAAAGTCGCTACTCTGGCATAGAAGGATTAAATATTCCCTTCCATCTGAGGGTTAGGGTGAATCTCCACATTTTAGGAAAGGGGTAATGGGTACAAAAATAAGGATTGTTTGGCGATCCAAAAGGGAGGGAAATTTGACTTGGTAAAAGGAGGTGGGCTGGGGAGAACTGGGGTGGGTAGGGGCCAAATGCTAAAGGATTAGTGGTATAGAAAAATAAGGATTGTTCACAGATAGAAAAGGGAGGAAAATTGGACCTGGTAAATTCTGGGGAGAAGCTGAAGCTTTAGTAAATAAAGTTAATATTAGGGCAGGAACACACAGAAGAATCTACATGGACCAAAACAATATTGTTGGAATATCAAGTATACCAAGCATAATGTAGATGTGCTCTTTTGTTTTTTTTCTTATAATATAAAGAGGTAAAGGCAGTTCCCCTAGTGTGTGCGGGTGGGGATTATACATATACTTAGCAACCAGTAAGCCAACATCTCTCACCAGATTGTTTATTAGCAAAGGTTATATTTCTAGACATGAACCTTACATCAATAGCTGAGATGAGAAGTTCTAAGAATGTGCATATTATTTGCATGCTAGTTATTAAGTAATAACTAACATGCAATTTCAATGTTGGAGTTTTGTTTTTGTATTTTCCTGAAGAAGAATAATACATAGTTAAAACAAACAGCTGAATTCCTGTTCCCAGAACCAGACTCTTCCTACAAGAAAAAAAGGCATGCTTAGAAGGTGTCAATGGAAGCAGAGAGTAGAGGGTTTTTGGTTTCTAATTACTGTTTACAGCAAGGGTGGGAACAGTACTGGAGCCTACACCTATCTCTTAGGATCTGTTACAAAGTGCATATAAAAAATCTGGAGGTGGCGGAAGAACCAGAAAGTGTCTCAAGGCCTGAAGCAAACACCTGAGTGACGCTGAAAACATTCTATTACAAAGAGCAGGAGATGACTGGGTTACAACGCCCAGCTCTTTTAGTGGAGGAAATCCCAGGTACCAGGGCTGCCCTACCCAGCAGTGAGGCGTAAGAGCATGTGACTGGAATCTGAAAATGAGGAAGGTTCAAAATCTGCTTTTGACCCTCTCTGCTTCCACCCAAATGATTCTGCAGTGGCAGGGAGCCCGAGGCTCTGCCAAGCCGTGGAGGGAGCTGGGCACAGACAAGGTGAGACAGGGCAGGCACTGCCTCCCCAAAGCTTAAAACACAGGTGCTGCCTGACTTATCCTGGCATTGGCAACAGGCAGGTGAGAGCTCTTGCTACCTTCACCCGCTCCTGGGTTTGGGCATTGGGCAGCAGGGCTGAGGTTGGGGCTGAGACTGCAGACCGGGGAGGGGCAGGGCCCATCCTAGGGGGATGCCTGTTGCCCTGTGTAACAGCTGGGAGGATGGACGCACTTGCTGTGAGTGGCGGAAGACCTTGGGACCTGCCTGCAGAGCGGAGCAGGACTCCATGAGAATAGAGACCCTTTCTCACCAAAGTCTTTATCTCTCCAGGCTTGTGCTGGGAGGTGGTTGGCCCTGGTCACATGCAACATCCTGGCAGGGTTGGGACCCCTTAGAGGGTGTTTCATCAGCATCTATGTGTTCCACCAAAGCCCACGCAGAGGGATAGTGTCTTATGAGACAAGCTGTCACCTAAAAGCTTATGCCTCTAAGCAGGGGCAGATCCAGAAGGGTGCAGTGGCACAGGTGCTCTCCCTTCCCTTCAGCTTGGATCATACCTCAGTAGCCTCTGGGGACTTTTTTAAGTCCCCGAAGCCCGTGAGAATCCCTCTCCTTCCCCTCCATGCTCAGAGGTACCATTTCGCCCCCTCTCCCCTGCTTCTGGTTTCCCTTCTGTCCTGGGGTGGAAAAGCTCCCAAAGAAGTCCTGCCTGCTCCAGCCAGGCTACCAGGGGTGGAGTCAGCTGGGAACACTGACAGCAGCAGAGGTAATTGGCAACAGAGTTCCCCCTTCCGGCCCCTTCTCCCAGGGGAGCCAGGTGGGGTGGGAGTACCTCCCTCTACCCATCTCTACTGCTACCACTGTTGCTGTCCCAGGTGAGCCCAGTTGCCTCGGAGCAGGCAGGAGTAGGCTTGAGGCTTCCCCCACACCTGGATAGCAGGAAAGTAGTAGCAGCAGGAGGAAAAGGGAGGTGTTTCTGAGCAAGAATGAGAAGAGGATTTTTATCTGCTTTGGGAGCTTGAAAAAGATTTCCTCAGAGGCTTCAGGCACAGCAGGTGGGGAGGAGAGTGGAAGTGGAAGTGGAGCTACCTCAGTAGCAATCCTGGATCCACACCTGCCTTTCTGAACATGTTGGTGAGATTACATATTGTAATTACCTCTTGTTGAGAGTGCTTAAAATTTACCCTTTAACACCAAGTTTGACCCATGTATGGTTAGAGAGAGGGAATTAATCTTTAAAGTATTGCTGAGCATTAGCTCTTGATAACTTTGTAACCAACTAACATTGCTTAGAATTAGCACTTGCAAACTTCAGCATGTAATATCCCCCAAAGGCTAGCATGTACAAAAGCTTATGACTCAACCAGTTCTTGTCTAAGGGTAAGATTACATATTGCAATTAACTCTTAAGAGTGCTTAAAACTTGAAAGATTTCACTTCAGCCTCATTAATTAGTGCTAAGTGCCTTTTAGACCTATTCAGGAAGGATTATTATCAATCGGTGTTAACTAGCTAGTTTTAAGCAAACTGATGAGCATTCCATTAACATAAAACACCCTATTTGGAGTCCTCTGGCATCCCAGGATGCACCAAGCACCACTCCCAGCCTTCCTCACCCTCCTGCTCCAAGGACAAACTTTCCACCCTCGTGAGTTCTTGGGCTGCTGGCAAGTCCCAGGAGGGGTCTGCATAGAACGCGGGGGCTCCTCAGCACCCCACCCAGCTACAGCAGTTGTGCTGCATGCCTCCCCCTTGATCCCCTGAAACTGCAGCCACCCAGCTCTTGTAAGGGAACATGCTGTCCCTGTAAACTTGAAGCCATAGCTGGAAAGATGACAGGTGGGGATGTTCTGTTGGCCTCAGTAAAGGCTTGAGACCCATTTCCTGGGAGTGGGAATGATAGCCAGCAAGCAGTGCAGGGTCACCAGCACCAGCTCCCCACTCACAGCCTACTGGCAGGGGCTTCCCCCATCTACACCAGAGGGAGCACAGGGCTTGGTAGCTGGCTAGAATGGCTAGCTGGCATGGAGCCAGCCAGTGGTGGGTGTTACCAGGCCCTCAGGATGCCAGAACCAACCCACCCATCCCCACCAGGAGGGAATTGTGGATGGGATCCTCAGTGCTCTCCCTTGCAGCTCTCCCCACCCCCATCAGACCTGCACCAAGCCCCTGCTGGATAGCCCCCTTGCAGCATATTCTGGGCTCCTCCAATCAAATGGACTGGCTGCACTGGGGGCTTGGGTATGGAGGGCCCTCAGGGTCCAGCCCTCTCCCACCACCCACAGTTTATTGAGAGCCTAGGGTCTTTAATATTTTCTATTTTGTTTAACTTCAATCAATAAAAGTGCTTCAGCCGGAAAAGTTTCAGCTCAGACTTCTCCCCAGGATCTCCATCTCTTGAGAAAAAGAGACACCTTGACTCCACCCCAAAAAGTTTTTTCTGGAAACTACAGTCTAGTGTTCCTCTGTTGTGCTCTTAATCTGGAATAACTGTAGCACTGATACTGGAACAAATCCATATCTGATCCCCACTTTTCCTCTTGTTTGGTTATGTTTATCCTACCGCCCCTTTAACATGCACCAGATCATCCCAGAGGGGTTATCATTCACATGTAACATGTTTTCCCTGACATCCTTGTCTGCTGAATTGGATCACTTCTCTTTCCATTCACACACATTATCCTGTCTTTCACTTCGTCCTCTAGGTCCCTTCCTCCTGCTCCCTCTGGTCTCCCTGGTTCAGCTCAACTAGGTCTGCTTCTGTTTGCAGCCTTTCCCTCTCTAGCCTCTTACTCAGTCCCAATGACTCCCTCCTTTCCCATTTCTTTTTAATTTCATAAAAGTTCTAGTACCATGGTTGGTATTGTAATGCAAGTGCTTTGTAAGTAGCCAGTAAGCAACATGACTAATGTCTGTCATGTGCCAGATCTTTCAGGACAATTCTGTATACAGTCGTGTGCTTTGTTCTGATAGGACTTTATGCGTAAGTGCATACAAGCAGGTGTGGGACTGTTTGTATACATAGTGTGTGCTTACATACATATGTAAGTACATATGATTTCATATATATACACATACTGCTTTGTTATACTCTGTAAGCATATAGAAGGTATACTGGTATTTACATATGCTAGAAAAGGGAAGGCATATTTTTTTAACCTTGCCCTTGTCCTTACTTCTTGTAGGAGTTCAAGAAAGCTAAGCGCAAACCTCACTGGCCATGCTATCTTCTGCACAGACAAACTTATTCTCTATTATAGTGAGTTCTGTTCTTGTTGAGATCCAGAGTGGGCTAACCACAGTGGCAGAACATGATAGACCTTGTAAAGGAATACAAGCTGAATTAATAATTAAATTCAAAGGCTGGTAGCAATTATATAAGCAAGTGTTCTATCTAGAATACTATTACCCAGTACTAACTACATCTCAAATGACTGTACTCGCACAGTGAAGAAGTATTATGAAAATGGGTCAGGTGTTTTGTTTGAGAGAGAGAGAAAAGGGATCAATGACTCATATCGGGGCAAGTTTGACAACTTCACTGCCATTAGATTTCTAATTGTGTCATCTTCTGGGGTGTCTGCCTGCCAAAAACTGGTAAGAACTAGCTTGTAAGGTTCTTGGGTACCTATGCTCATCTTCTAAAAGCATAGAAAATCATGCTTTCTGTTTCTTCTCTCTGTGATTCGAGGACATCTGATCTCTTCTTTCTAAAAAAAAAATCCAGATCACTTCAATCTTTATTTATTCCTTAGACTTGGAGAAGGCAGTTGGATATCAAATTTATCTCCTTCCTGTTTACAACTTCTTTAGTTAAAAAATAGAAAAGTATATCAGACCCCTCTTGTGCAGTTTTCAGTACATTCCACAGCCTGTACTTGAAAAGAACCAGACCTTGAGAAAAATATTTTCAGCACCCCTACTCCTGGTTTTGAAACAGCCTCCTAACCTTGTTTAACTCTCTACTGAACAGCAGGTACCTAGTGGGACCCAGCCCTGCCTCAACAACAAATAGAAGCCCTGCCCACATTTGTCTAATACCAGAGCAACCAAGACACCCCCCAACAAAACCTTCCAAAATCCATGGATATCACACAAGTTTATCTCAGAGTGTGTGACACCTCATTCAGTGCATCAAATGCCCTCACGACAATGATATAGGTGAAGCCAGACAAAAAACCTACATATCAGAATGAGTAATCACCAAAAAGAAGACAAAAGGACAGAGAAAAGTAGAAGAACATTCTTTAAAAAAAAAAACCTCTCCCTGTCTGACCTGACAGTTCTAGTGATCAAAGGGTATCCCTGCAAAATATTTACAAGAGGAGCTTGGGAATAGAAATTCATCAGCCCATTGGACACCAAGCACCAGGGTCCATTATAACCTTCCTGGTATGCACTTACCCCTGCACTTCTCAGTTAACAGTGACCCTACTCATTAGGGGTGTGAGAAGTGGGCCCTATTCGATTCAGATTCGGCCCAAATCAGGGACAGTGATTCGATTTGTTGATTTGGATTACTGTCCCTGATTCGTTTTGGTCAAATCCAAATCTGAAGATTCGATGCTGATTCGGAGAATCATCAATTCGGACATAGACACAGCTTTAATAGTTTTTTCTACATACCTTGAGGTAGCAGGCATGGCTCATGATAGCCGTGATGCTGGGGTGCATGGAGCATCCCACAGGAGTGTGGGGGGGCCCTCCACATGCTCAATGGCAAACCCGGAAGTGGACCGGAAGTACTTCTGGTCCACTTCTGGGTCTGCTGGGAGTGCGCTTGGGGGCCCCCCTGTACCTCCCCGGCTCAGCAATCGGCCTCAGGAGGACCCTGGGTGCCCCCCCCCAGACCCAGGAGGCACCAGTCACTGAGCTTGCATAGGTCTATACAACCAACCAGTTGGTCCAATAAAAGCTATCACCCACAAAAATGTTTGCTTTTCACAGATCTCTTGAACCACCCAACAACAACATGACCTCAACACTCCTTACAAAGTTGGTAGGTTAACTTTATCTCTCTTATAACTTGCACCTTGTTTTTCTGGACAAACGGGTTTGGCTTCTGCATAAGAGCACAAAATAAAATATAGTATTACCTCTTACAAAACCAACAAAAAATGTATCATTCTGAGAGCGTGTTGATTTGCTACACAGGCTGCTTGTAAATGCCACGGGGGTTTAATTTGGTTTAGTTCTCCCTAAATTGAAATGGTGGGTTTTTAAAAACACCGTTTCAATTTAGGGAGAATTAAACCAAACTAAACCCCCATGGTGTGTACATAAGGGTGGGGGCCCGATACTGACCTGCCTCTCTAGCAGAAGGGTGGGGGGCAGGGAGGTAGAGCTGCTGGCAGGTTGAGTGGTCCCCGAGTTGCAGAGTGGCCAGTGCTTCCCTCTGTGGTGGCAGCAGCACTCCCCAGGTGGCACCCAGCCCAGGTAGTCCCAGGGGGCACCGAAACCACAGAGGGAATCACTGCCCTCCCTCCTTGAAATGTTTGAACAACAATACAGCATTTCAGTCAGAGAGACATACAGCCCCCTACCATTTCCCCCACTTGAATACTTCAAAACTGTGGTTCCAGCATGCAAAAATGGTGTTCTACAGCAAGGACAACTTGGTCTTCCTGCATCTGGCTCCTGGTCAGGCCCTGGCTGCCTACACTACTCAGGGTAGTGTGGGTAGCGTGCCTGGAGGACCTGCCATGTGCATGTTCCAAAATGAAGTGGCACAAGATACCACCTACCCACTTGATGCACCTTTATCAAGCTTCAGGTTTTTAATCGGGCAGCTATGCCTGTATGCTTGTCTTCTGAAACATTACAACGGCAACTGAAGCTGTTTGATATGTTTCAAACTGTACCAAACCCTGGAAACTGGACAGGAGCCAAAAGGAGGATTCTCAAAATGTATACAGGGGATTCTGAGAGGATAAGATCACAGGCCTATGAGCTAAGGAGATTGGGAAAAGCATGGGTGAGACAAAATTACAATACATACACTTAGAATATACATAACAGATCATAAGAGTGACTCAGTGATAAAACCCTTCAGGGACAGATAGCAAGATAACAAATAGGAAATATTAACAACATATATACACTGAAGAAACCTTAAACCCTCCCTTAACTCCAAG